GCCCTCTTTTTTTTGTAACTACAACACCTTTAAAATAATGACTGATCATAGACAAGACATAATTATTAAAACAGACTGAAATTGCAAAGACGGTTTACAAAGAAGTCCCAAATAGATCCACCTATCTCGACAAATGGTTGAAGGTAACACTAGCATTCTATCAAAGACTTTGCCGACCACCTGGGCGCTCTACTCACTGTGCATGTTGCATGCATGTGCATACAAGTTTAACAGTCTTCAGTTATGTTCAACAATATGCCTTCTGGGAAGGTTCGGGACACTACGTGCCTACGGACTCGTGGCCGAGTACCTACACCACGCGAAATATTCACGTCCCCATAAAACCTCCAAAAAAATTGACATTCCATACACCTCTATAAAGACGTTAAATTTTTGCCCATGATTCCAATAAAAGATGTATTTTTTATTAAATACACCAAACATAATGGAGAACAAACAAGACTATTGAAGATATTCTGAACGCATCTATTTACAAAATGTAAACGAATGTTCTACAATGCGCGCGTAATACCCCTGGTATTGCAGGCGTTCATAGGTTCAATATCCGCTTACCATGAGGTAGGCCGTATGCTTGTTTGCCACCTCAGTGATATAAAATAAAAGAATAAGTTATTCTTGGGCCCGTGATCTCCATCTTACGTCACATCATCACTTCCCATCAGGTTTTTTTTTGTTTTTTCTTTTTTTTTTTAAATGATAGTGGAATGGTAACCCCTCCTTCGCTAACGGTATACACTCGTGGACACCAGTAAGGGATGATAAATGAGACTGAAAAGGTAGGTCAGTTAGCTCATCGTGATATATTCAGCACGATGGTTTCCAGGGGGACCACGAAGAGGTCAATCTGATAGCTACTAATGGGAGTAGAAGTCCGTATCACTAACAATCCCTCCCCCCTTTCCATCAGATTAGATCGTAATCAATTGCGAGACTCTTCAATAGTAGAAAGAAAAATTTGAATACTTACTTGTTACTTCATACAAGTGGTTTTTAAAAAATAAAAAATAAAACAATGAAATACGTCATTTCTAGCGTTGATACACCATACGATAAACCATACACCATATTTTAAATAAGATCTTCAAAAACATAAAGCCGCATCCAATTTGGCGGAGTAAATTTTTTCGTGATGCCGAAATGCACATACAGACATACGACGTCTTCAATCGTGGCAAAACCAGACATTTTAATTTAAAAACTGAACTACTTAACCGACATTGATAAAATTTCTGTAAGACCGATCTAAAAGTATGACCTTTCATATAAAAAAAGGATCTTTACAAGTCGGTTTAGATATAATGGATTCCGAGTTCTTACCTGAAACCTCTTAATTTTTTGAAGTTTTTACATAAATGTTTTAAGGTTCACTCCTTTTATGCTATTTATTTGAGAGTGATGACGCCGAGTTGTCCCTTTGACAGCTCTCTTAATCCAGCCAACAACATGGCCGCCTCTCCTACTGTTTGAACACAATAATTTTTTAACAATTTTTTTTATTAATTACACTTCTAACGCCAAATAGCTACCGCCTTTTTATTTTTTCCTCTAACCAAAGGTCGTTTGGAAGGATCTCTTCCTTTAGCTTCACTTTAGAGATGAGATCGCCTTTTTTTCACCACAACCATATTATATATTCTTTATTTATATATATATTCTTTATTGCACTTGTAAGTTACATATAATACAATGCATTTATAAATGTTGCGAGCAAGCGTGGACTTATCTCTGACAGAGATCTCTTCCAGTCAACCCAGTACAGTAAGAAAGCATTTCGTTAGCGGGCAGCTGAAGTGCTACAACTATAATACATAATTGGCAACAATAACATAAAACTAAACATAGTTGTGGGAGACTGGCGTCTAAATTGGGCAGCGAGCTGCCTGTGTCTTAGATCACCAGGCCACCCTCCTTAGAAACAAACATCTATAATATAACTGCCATCATGACAAAAATTAAATACAAAATAAATACAAAATATGGTAAAATACACAATAATATTTTATGAATGTACGTACTATTGAATATTTATATTGAAGTTTTAATACTGGCTGTTGACACTAAGGTTTTTTAGAACAATGTATTATTTTTATGTTTGTTCTATGTCAGATTTTTATAAGACATGTCTCGTATTTTGTTCACTAAACTTATTATTTTATATTTCAAACACATATATGTTTTATTACTGCATCCTGCTATTTACAACAATTTAAATGGTGCAACAAAGAGTAAATAAATATCTTATATATAAAATTCTCGTGTCACGGTGTTTGTTACCAAACTCCTCCGAAACGGCTTTACCGATTTTTATGAAATTTTGTGTGCATATCGGGTAGGTCTGAGAATCGGCCAACATCTATTTTTCATACCCCTCAATGATAAGCGTGACCTTCCCCAAAAATTTTTTTTTATTTTTTTAACAATTTTTTCCATTTTTATTTTATTATGATTTAGCATTGAAAAATACACACAACTTTAAATTTTCATCGTTTTACAATCAACCCCTGTATTTTAATTGCGATTTTTATATTTCGCAATAAGTGGTAAAACAACGTTTACGGGGTCAGCTATATATATATATATATATATATATATATATATATATATATATATATATATATATATATATAAGTCGATTGAAAAATATTCGGTCTCACTGGTAAAACACTTTCTTGGAAAGATTCTAATCATATATATATATATATATATATATATATAATTATATTATATATATATATATAATTATAACACAGTTTATACAATAATATAGATTATAACAATAGAGCCACTACGTCAGCGACGTGGAATCCCTTTCATTGATGTTTATTTAAGAACTGCATACACTGATTCACGCATTCCGCGTGCAACTTGCGCCCGCGCACATGTGTGTGATGCAACATATAACTTACTAGCTGTCTCACGCGGCCTCGTCCACATATATCATTATATAAAGTGTCCTATTTTAGAGCATAAAATACAGTATCGTAAAGGGTGGTCATCATTATCCAGTAGAACTTAATATATTAATATCGGAATATATAGAAATCGTAATTAACAGATATCGGAATATATAAATATCGGAATATATCGATATCGGAATATATAGATATCGTAATTAACAGATATCGAAATATATATATATATCATGATATAGAGATATCATATATATAGATATTGGAATATATAGATACCGGAATATAGAGATAGCGGAATATTTAAATATCGGAATATATAGATATCGTAATTAACAGATATCGGAATATATAATTATATATCATGATATAGAGATATCATATATATAGATATTGGAATATATAGATACCGGAATATGGAGATAGCGGAATATATAAATATCGGAATATATCGATATCGGAATATATAGATATCGAATATATTTTTTAATGGTTGATTATGGATTGGTAACCCCGCGTGCGCTAACGGTATACGCTGGCGGGACACCGGTGAGGGATGATAGGTGAGAAAAGAAAAAAAAAAACAAGTCAGTTAGCCCATCGTGATGAATACATTTGGAAATCAGCACGATAGTTTCCAGGGGGAACCACGTGGAGGTCGACCTGACATATACCTAATATACCCATATTGCCAGCAATAGGGCTAGAAGCCCGCATTACTAACAATCCCTTCCCCCCGATATCGAATCTATAATATTAATATCATCAAGTTTTTTGAATAGTTAATAACAAACATTAACAAACGTACAAATTTACTTAATATTTTTATAAGTTATTACAATAATTTATTTATTTTTTTCAACTCATGAGATGGTAATCTTCTGAAAAAAAAAACTATTTTAACACGAACATAATTAGTAACCATAGAGTCGAGTGAGCGGTCTACAATAAAGTCTACTTACCATACTCGGCAGGCCGTTCCTTCTGCACCATTCAGAGAACAATCGATGACCTCCTGTGACGAACCAAGGACGTATTATCATATAGTAGCCATTATTATAATTAGCAGATGAGAGTTTAAAATTAAAATACGTATAGAATTGAAAAGAGGTGCAGAGCAGTGATTCCAAAATTTTTAAGGTCATTATTTTTAAACGAATGAATGAGTATACTTTATTTGCATTATACAATATAGGAAATAAGCAAGACAATAAATAAATGTAACGATACAGTTGTATAAGTACAGTAAGGCGGTCTTATTGCTGAGAGCAATCTTTTCGAGACGACCTTAGGGTAATGGACTAATTGTTGTACAAGTGGGTATTGTATAACTAAGAAATTTAACAGAATAAAAGATTAAGGAAAATAATTATAAGTATATATAAGTATAATATTCACCAGAGGGAGACTTTGTACAAAAGTCGATTGCTTGGGTACCTCTGTCCCATTCGTGTTTCACCCGTGAAGCAGCTGTGTTTGCATGGCCGTGTTTCGGTTTGAAGGGTAGGATATGGCGTGAATTTACAGGGTACAGAGGAATAACATCTGAATCCTCAGGAATGGCAACGCATGGGGGGTATGATGGGCGAAACAGTACACTCTGTTATGTCCATAGTACTGCTCATGTCTATAGGCGACGGTTACCACTTTCCATCAAGTGGACCGTCAGCTTGTTTGCCATTCTTCTACACCCTTCAAACCGAAACACAGCTATGCAAACACAACTGCTTTACGGTTGAAACACGAATGGGACAGAGGTACCCAAGCAATCGACTTTTGTACAAAGTCTCTCTCTGGTCTCTACTTAAAATTAGGGGGAGAGGGAATATTAATAATGGAGTCTAATTGCTAGAAATATATCCTATCAGGTCGCCCTCCACGTCGTTCCTTCTGGAAACCATCGTGATTAATTCTGAATTCGTCACCTGCTGTGATCCTCGCCCTTTATCTCTCATTGGCATCCCGCCTACGTATACCGATAACGTAGATGGGCTTACCATTCTATTTTTATCCATAAAGTACTTAGAACCTGTCAATACCAATTATTTACATAACCTCTATCTTCCACAGTGTGAGGAGACCATGTCAGCGGGCGACATGTGCGTGTCGGCGGCCAGGGCGGGACCGTCAGCGCGCTGGCACCCCGCCTGCTTCGTCTGCTCCACCTGCCAGGAACTGCTGGTCGACCTGGTCTACTTTTGGAAAGACGGGCTACTCTACTGCGGCCGTCACCACGCTGAGAAGCTGAAGCCGAGGTGTTCAGCTTGCGACGAGGTAAGGAAGATTTTTATTTTTATAACCCCTGATTTTGGCGACCCGGTTTTCTTTCAGTCATGAACATGTCTCGTTTGGAATCCCTATGCTTTCTTTTTCGTTATCAAACTACCTCGCTTTTGATTTTTGTTACTGAAGTCTGATTTTACCAAAACATAGTTGAGAACTATAGTTCTCAACTATCGGTATACCGATTAAACCGGCCACCATTTGGCAACTATCATGCCCATTTGGCAACTGTCAAGGTACAGATAGAGACTGTTCAGAAACACTGATATTAATTTATTTTATATTAATATTGTTTTTCGATTTATTTGCTCATCATGCTACACCGTTAATTTTATTTTCTGTTATTCCTGTCTACAGTCGACTGGTAGATAACGCCTTGTGGTGTTAAGTCCGCCATTTAAACTTTCTAATTGTATTAAAGTTTAATAAATATATTTTGTAATTTAATATTTTTATAATTTGATTACCTTAATATAAGCATGGCTCATTTTATTTCGCTGCGATGAATTGTGAAGAGAAAATAAATCTATTTATTATTTAAAAATCAATTACTTAATCATAACATCCCATTTTTATATCAGGGACTTAGGTATATAAAGGTATAAACTATATCTCTTTAAAATTGAAAAATCTCTGGTCTACTTGAAGTGTAGATATATCAAGTTGATCAGAGATTTTTATTTATTTTTATTTGATATTAGAGTTTTGAACAATTTTATTACATGTACAGTTTGAAGGCCATAATAACTAAGTGAAGCAGGATATCATTGACTGCAGCTGGCTTGAAAATGGATAACAACCGCCTTTTTTATATTCGATTGGAATATTCTTTCAAAATAAAATAACAAATGCCTTAATAATTACACACCCACTACCTAGTACGTGTGGATTTTAAAAGTAAGAAAGGCAATGTTATAAACTATTTCTAGATACCGTATCAAAATTAAACATAGAGCAGACTTTAATTTAGACTTTCAAGAATACAACTGTAAAAACGGCATGCAATTTGGTGCAGTAATTTTGAGTAATACTGTAAAAAAAAACATACATACGAAATTTTCAAAATTTGTTATTTTGCCATCTATTGGCCTTATTAAGACCCCCTGTGTTAATTATTCCTAAACATTTCCCATTATCATGGGGAGTGCTCTGAGGGATTGTTCGGATTGATACCTGTTGCTGATTTTCACCACCGTACAACTTGCTACAAACTAAATTTCTATCCCAACCATCTGGTCCGGTCTTCCACCGTGCGTTTTTCAAAGCACTTTCTTCCACGCACAACTACTCTTTAGAATATATCTCACATCATAACCTTCAAGAAAAGAGTATATTCCTTTTTAAAAGGCCGGCAGCACACCTGCAATGCCGTTGGTATTGTGGGTAATCGTGGGCGGCGGTAGTCACTTACCATCAGGTGAGCCGCATGCTCGTTTGCCACCCGTATTATAAAAAAAAATGTACAAACACTGTGTAATTATATTAATAAAATTTCTGCAGTGAATATACAATGAAATTCCTTACTGCTACCCAATTTCATACCATTAAAACCCGTTGCAATATAAATAACCAGAACCCTTCTAAATTCCATGGCCTGTACAAAAATACACCCCTTATTTCACACACCAGAGGGCGCAATTACGAAATGCCAAAATGAATTAGCAATGAACCTATATCCTGCCGGAACAGAACCGAGATACTATCACCGAAACACCATGACGGCAGCCCGGATCTTCGGCTGTTCCATAATATATTCCACGTACTGTCCGCCAATTTAACAAAGTTGATTTACGATCGACAATTATGTTTGCAAAACTTCTGGCACGTGCAATTTTTGCGTCAAATAATATGCAACTATTGCTTTTTACGATGTTATCTATAAGAATCTATAAGTACCAGTATTGTAAATACATACATTTTTTTTATACAACTTAGAATGGCAAACAAGCTGACGGCCCACCTGATGGAAAGAAGTAACCGTCGCCTATAGACATGAGCAGTACCATGCACATAACAGAGTATACTGTTTCGCCCATGATACCCACCAAGCGATGCCATTCCTGAGGACTCAAACGACTTTTGTACAAAGGTTATTGACCATTAGCGATCTATAAATTTGCCTAAAGATGCCTCGTTTAGAAGTGAAACACGTGTCGCAAAACATGTGTGGTAGAAATGGCAGTCGGAGGTTGATAGTTAATATGGAAGTATGTAGAATTTCTGGCAATACGGTTGAAATAAACAAATTAATTCTAATCTTCCGCAAAATAATAACTAATAAATACAACCGTAAAGCAGTTGTGTTTGCATGGCTGTGTTTCGGTTTGAAGGGTGGGATATGGCAGTGAATTTACACGGTACAGAGGAATAACACCTGAGTCCTCAGGAATGGCAACGCATGGGAGGTATCATGGGCGAAACAGTATACTCTGTTATGTCCATGGTACTCATGTCTATAGGCGACGGTTACCACTTTCCATCAGGTGGGCCGTCAGCTTGTTTGCCATTCTAAGTTGTATAAAAAAAAATACATACTAAATTAGTACTTAATCAACTGTCATATTATTATTACTATATAAGTCCAATGATACAACTGCAGGCTTTTACGGCGGAGTGCAACGACCCCGGCAGTTGTGCATCAATAAATCAACGGAACCCTTCGCTTTCAGGGTTCCGTGGGCAACGGAAACGTCGGCCGGCCCTTCATGAATCGTCTTGAAATCGACCGATAACAACATTTGGGTCGAGGGTGGCTCGGCGGCCGCTTTCAGGCTTATCAATATTTTTCTTGCAGACTTTAAATAAATGTAAACGTATGTCGTAAAATTCATGAAAAAAGTCCCTCACGTGTTTCTGCCGTGAAGCAGCTGTGCTTATATTACTATTTTTTTTTATACCACAAAAGTGGCAACCAAGCATACACCTAATGCATACAAGGAATAACACCTGAGTCCTCAGGAATGGCAACGCATGGGGGGTATCACGGGTGAAACAGTATACTCTGTTATGTCCATGGTACTACTCATGTCTATAGGCGACGGTTACTTTATTTTTAATGGATGATAATGGAATGGTACCCCACCCGCGCTATCGGTATACACCGGCGGACACAAGACCTGAGGACTCAAGTGTTAGTCCTCTGTACTCTGTAAATTCGCACCATATCCCACCCTTCAAACCGAAACACAGCCATGCAAACACAACTGCTTGCAACACGGTTGAAACCCGAATGGGACAGAGGTACCTAAGCAATCGACTTTTGTACAAAGTCTCCCTCTGGTAAATACAATATTTTCGTACGAATTTTAAATTTACTTATCACAAACCGCCACAAAATCTCTGTAAGTCAGTTAACTCGCGATTGTCCAATTATCCATTTCTTATCTACATTGTTATGGATAATTGTTGATTAATTAACATAAGGCCCGAACTATCTTCTATTGATCTTTGCTTATAATAAGAGGTTTAAACAAATTTCTCTATTATATAGTGTGGGAGGTAAATACTTACTAAAAAATAACTTCATTATATGTTCGCGTGTTCAGAGGAGAATAAATAACAAACGACTTGATAAATTTTACAGGTATTTCAACGAATTAATCAAAATATAATAATTTTCATGATTAGGCTGAAAACAAAGAGAAAAATATGTTTTTTTTTAATATATAAAATTGTGATAGTCCCTTGTTTTTTTTTCTTCTTTATTTTACTAGAGGTGTTAATTGTCAGAAAATATCAAAAAGCAAACTCAAAAACTGATTGATAATACGCATTTAAAGTAATCACAATCAATGGCCAGTGAAAAGAAAAATACGAAAAAATTAATTGATAAATAAAAAAAAAATTATCACTAATCACTACAATTAGTGACAGAAAAAAACAAAAAAGTATAAAACAAAGTCGCTTCCCGCTGTCTATCCTTAAATCTTTAAAACAACGCCACGAATTTTGATGTTGTTTTTTCTAATAGATAGAGTGATTCAAGAGGAAGGTTTATTTATTTTATTTATTTATTTATTAGAAATGAACGGCGTTACAGTTAATATTTACAGACTAGTATTTAAAATATTAAGGCTAATAACAGGTTTCTTATTTTTATAAAAGTACAAAATTGGTTTGCGCAAAAAAAGAAAAGTACAATAAAGCACACACACACACTAACACCATGCAAATACAGTCACACCGACCCAAAGATTTTACTTAATTACCTATTGATTCATTGATTCATAGTTCTTACAACAAGCTTCTTAAATGTCAACTTAGATTGAAAGAATACGAGTAGATCACGTTATATGTATAATACATGCATAATATTGTAGAGAAACATTGATAAATTTAGATGTGTCTAATGGGCCGGCGGCGCTGTTTAGTATTAACATTGTACCCGTCAAAGCCGGGGCGGGTTGCTAGTTTATAAATATCATCATTTCAGCCATTATCCGTCCACTGCTGGGCATAATCCTCTCCAATAGATTGCCATAAAGAACGCTCGTGAACCACCTGTATCCACAAATATTATAATATTATTAAGATATTTTGTCAAAATAATAATACGGTTTATTAAACCGCCATAAATTGCAAGTTTTTACCAAGACAGCGGTCGCATGTCGATACAGTGATAAGCGCTGCGCCTTTATGTCTGTCTGTCACGACAGTATATTAATATGTCAGATAAGATATAACGCTCATTAGTTGTACGACATTCATGGCATGCTTGGCTGGTGGCGGCCACCGGGAAATGGCGGATTTCTAATGTCACACCGTTACTTGTTCACGTTACCAACCCGCCTGCCAAGCGTGGCAACTACTGGCAAACCCCTCCAAAGGGAGGCTCATGTTTAGCGGTGGACAGTTAAAGGCTGGTATGGTAACAATGATGTTTACTTATTCACGAAATGTATGCCTATTTGTCAGCTAATACCTTGGGTGATATGGATAAAACATATTACGCCGATCCCAAAATTTATATATATATTTTATACAACTTAGAA